GTCTGGGTTCGGGGCAAAAAACGCCGATTTTGGGTCAAAAACGGCAATTTTGGGTCAAAAAACGGCGATTTTGGGTCATTTCGGGGTCGTTTTTGGGTAATTAATGAGATTTTTAAGGTCATTATTGAGGATTTGGGGTCACAGGAATGACTCAAAGGTCACAAAATCCAGCCCAGAATCTGATCCTTGATCTTGTTCCCCAAATTCCAATGAAAAACTGGAAAATCGTCAGAATTTGGGGCAAAAAACGCCAATTTTGGGTCATTTCGGGGTCGTTTTGGGGTTATTGTGGAGTTTTGGGGTAATTAATGAGGTTTTGGGGTCATAGAGAGACCCCAAAGGTCACAAAATCCAACCCAGAATCTCATCCTTGATCTTGTTCCCCAAATCCCAATGAAAAACTGGAAAATCGTCAGAATTTGGGGCAAAAATCGCCAATTTTGGGTCATTTTGGGGTCGTTTTGGGTCATTAATGAGGTTTTGGGGTCGTTAATGAGAGTTTGGGGTCATAAAAAGACCCCAAAGGTCACATAATCCAGCCCAGAATCTCATCCTTGATCTTGTTCCCCAAATTCCGACAAAAAACTGGAAAATCGTCAGAATTTGGGGCAAAAATCGCCAATTTTGGGTCATTTTGGGGTCATTTTGGGGTTATTGTGGAGTTTTGGGGTAATTAATGGGGCTTTGGGATCATAAAAAGACCCCAAAGGTGACAGAGCCCAGCCCAGGGTCTCGTCGTTCACCTCGTTCCCCAAATCCCCGCAGAAAATGCGGAAATCGTCTGGGTTCGGGGCGAAAAACGGCGATTTTGGGTCAAAAACGGCGATTTTGGGTCATTTCGGGGTCGTTTTTGGGTAATTAATGAGATTTTTCAGGTCGTTATTGAGGGTTTGGGGTCCTGGGAATGTCCCAAAAGTCACAAAATCCAGCCCAGAATCTGATCCTTGAACTTGTTCCCCAAATCCCAACGAAAAACTGGAAAACCGTCAGAAATTGGGGCAAAAAACGCCAATTTTGGGTCATTTCGGGGTTGTTTTGGGGTTATTGTGGAGTTTTGGGGTCGTTAATGAGGTTTTGGGGTCATAAAAAGACCCCAAAGGTCACAAAATCCAGCCCAGAATCTCATCCTTGATCTTGTTCCCCAAATCCCAACGAAAAACTGGAAAATCGTCAGAATTTGGGGCAAAAATCGCCAATTTTGGGTCATTTTGGGGTCATTTTGGGGTCGTTATGGGGTCATAGACACACCTGGAGACTCCCAGTCCCTCCCAGTTTGTCCCAGTCCCCTCCCAGTTCATCCCAGTCCATCCCAGTCCATCCCAGTCCCCTCCCAGTTCATCTCAGTCCCTCCCAGTCCATCCCAGTCCCTCCCAGTCCCTCCCAGTTCCCTCCCAGTCCCT